ACCAAGAGACTTGCTATCCAGATGCTCAGCCGCAGATGCCAACGGACCAACAGGAAATTCCATCCCAGTTGGCAGTCTTAGACAGTGCGAACGAGCTGCCGTCAGTTGACGACCCCATTGATGATGCCGAGACGACCGCACCTCCTACAAAGCGAGCAAAGACTTCTAGTGCGGGGAGGTTTGCCAGCCATGCTGCAAGTGCTGCTCTGGGGGTAGCCATCGGTGCTTTCGGTACTATCGCTGCGTTGGCGTCGCTCCCCCCAGATTACTTTCAGTAAAGAACAGGAGTTGTCTCGGAATTGGCCAATCGCTTTGGAAACCATGCGCTTCTGCTATGAAACACGGTGCTTATGAACCACACCGAGTACGTGGTGCTATCGGCGTTCTCTTCTCATACCTTTCCGAATTGGGATATGGCGGGTACTGCTTCTCTGTCTCTTGTCTTTTTCTTTCTATCTATCTTTCTTTCACTTTCCTATGTTTGGTATTTGGGCGTGTTTCTCGCTGTTTTCTTATCTTCCTGCTCTAATGGGCTTCTTCAGAACCGAGGTACAACCAGCCAGCCCCCGCAAACCTGGATGTAATTATTGTTCTAGCAAATAATACAGCCAGTTCTTCCGATGGCACACTAGTTAGTGTTGTTCTGGGGTGGATGAGACGGGCCAATGTAACCACGGCCGCAAGGCAGGCTCTTCTCGCTCTCATGATCGGTGGGCCGGCTTTTAGTTATGACCGGGGGGTCATCTTGGTTCTTCCTGCTGAGCGGAGCTTATTGGCCTATTGGCTTGGTGACCGCCATGAAGTCGACCATGACCACCACGTCGGCGCCTCTATCAAGGCTTCTCGTTCGTCATTATCTCCCTCTCCCCCTCTCTCTTTCCATCTCTGCGTTTCCCTCTTTATCCTGATCTGCCGTAGAGGAGCAGTCACCGCTTCTTCTTCCCCCACCTCCCCTTCGTTACGTCCCTCCTCCCCCGATTGTCCGGGTCCTTGCGCACCCGGAGTAGAATTTACCATCAAAGGGTATTAACTACGTTGAAGGTGTCTAAGCGTTCGGCCGGCCGGGTTGCCGTACGTCACTCTTTCTCCTCCCAGCTTTGCTTTTCTCTGTACGACAAACGGTGCCTCCAGCAGCAGTTTCTCCGTCAAGCGCGCGAGTCGCATCCAGTTTCCCTCGGTAGTGTCCCTGTCCCGTGGCCTTGCCTTGCGTTTCAAGGTTGGGTCTCCTTCGCTTGCCCTGCTTTTTTGCTTTCTCTTTCCAGGGATCTCTATCCCGGCCAGCACTTTTGCTGTGAGTCGGGCAGGTTAACAATGGCCACTATAATGTGCCCTAATAATATTCCAAGTTGGGCCCTCAGTCGTGCGCGTGATGCCTGCCGGATACTTGCAGCTCACCGACCAGTGATCTGACTGAGACCCGAATTTGCCGTCCTCCACTCCTACCTTACCTGTAAGCCACCCACCCTTGCATGTTTTATTCTTTTCTGGCTTTCTTTTCTTTTCTTTTCTTTGTCCGTAAGTCACTTCTGTTTCCCTGGTTGTGGGATCCACCCGTGACTGAGACGGAAATGAACCACATGGATGGCATTGTCAATGGAAATCTTAGCCATCCTTCGCCTCGGTCTAGGATTCCTGAATAATGGCAGGTTGGTTTCTTTAAGACTACTACTAGGGCTCAGGTAGGTGTTCCGTACTCCGTACCTGCGGCAGGAGCATCAAAGTCAAGCAAGTTTCGCGCCATGAACTGCGCGAGTTCCAACCGCAGTTCGAATCCCATAATATGGACAGGGATTCTTATAACATGTGACCAATCCGCAGACGCAGGCCACTCCAAGAACCTCCAGGATCTTCGGCCATTGGTCCAGGCAAGAAAATTTCCTTTGCCTTTTAATGAGGACGACGCAAGATTAATGCCCCAAAAGCCGAGCAATCATCGCTGCACTGCGGTTGCGATGGAATCGCCATCTCCCTTTCCTTTCCCCCCCCCTTGAGAAGTGAGAACCGGATACCTGCAGAAATCGGGAATGAACTGCCACTTGCGAGGCACGGAAATTACGGCCTGCAACACTCACTATCTGATCGTCCAGTAATCTGCTATTCTCATTTGTTCCCTCTCCCCGTGATTATTCCTTCTCGTTTTATGTTTATATTCTTATTTTATATTCTATTTATTTATTTATTTTCTTTTTCTTTCTTTCGAGGGCGCTTGTCCGCGTGTCCTCGTGCCCCTGCGGTTTCATGGCTTCCGTCACACTGTGTACCCATTGTTCACAGGCACGCATGAATAAACCTCCCCTTCCCTCACTCTTTGCGGGTTTGACTCGCTATTTCTTCTTTGACTTTCTCAGCCTCCATATGCCCTATACTTCAGTGGATGAGAAAATGACTTTTAGCGCATGGGCAGTGGCGCTGCCGCTAAATTGGCCTAAACGCCGCACGACCGTTGCTCCATCGCTTGCGGGCACCTTGGAAGGCCTAAGGAGAATTTCGCCTAAAGTATAAGCTGAGGCGTAGCTTACAGGGCCACGGAGTTAGGCAGAAAGTGTCAAGTCTATCCGAAGCCTATTCATGTGCCATGAAATGATTGGGTGAACAGCCCGCCTGAGACGCAGCTTCGTGCATGGAACACCCTACGACTATACCAACATATAGGGAGAAGCCCAGGGTGAACTCATGGCATACCATATCGATGAACGTCGATGACTCTGTATGGCTGCTAGTCCAGTGTCACTGCGACCACAACACATCGCTGGAACAAAATTCCGCGTTATCAGGATATGTTGCCAGCCATGATCGTGTAAGTGCGTGTCGCACTGCGCTTATCCGTTATGGGAGGTCAGCGAAAGGCTTAAAGGGCCACGTCGCATTGAAAGCAGTTGACCTGGGATGCTTGCCGAGCTTAGCGATTCTTGTTAGTCGCGTAACACAATCCTCCGTGGCTGCCATGCTTCTAAGTCTTGTATCCCGCAGTATAACATTTCCGGCTTCTGCTTGGTCACTTACTCGAGCCTGGACTGACGTCTGTATTTTCGACTAAGCGCACCATGCAGCCGTAATCACCTACTTGGTCGCCCAATCAATGATAATCGAGATCCACCATTGTCCGATACGCTTGGGCAAGTCGTGCATCTAGGCACCTGGTCTGGTTGGCAACGGCCGGCACAACGCCCATAAACTGGACCCGGCCCTATGGATCAAGATTGCAGAAAGGGCTCCACTGGGGCGCGGAGTCTTTTCTTAAAGGAATCGGAGGTGTTGACACGCCCGACAGGCACATCCTGCATCTCCTCAGGTGGCCTGGGGCTGTCTCTGCGGCCCCTTCGTGATCCTGGGACCATGCCGCACCGTCCGGTCTCGTGTTATTGGTGCGGTATATCGAAAATAAAAAAAATCTCTGGATGTGACTGAGTCTTTGTGCCTTGAATTTTGCTCGGAAGATGAAATCTTGACAGATAATTTGACGTTGCTGATACGAAGTGGTCTTGACTCGAGAGCTGGTAGCACACATCAATGACCGAATGAGTCTTACAATTCCCGTCCCCCGCGAGCTTGCCCTTGGCACTAAGCAGGGAGCGGGATGATTTGACTGAAGCAATTCGCCTTTGCTTTTTCTTACTCATTACCTGCCTATCCGGGAATCTTCGCCGATTCTATGTCTCATCTTGATGATTGATAAGCCCAGTGGCCCCCCTACAAATACTGCGTTTGGTCATGGGAAGGAGTATATCCGACTCTTGATTCTTTCTCTCTGTCCGATCAAAGTATCAACCCCCTCTAAGGTTGTGGAATCAGTTTCTGAGCATAGCCTATTATTGGACTACATATTACCATCTCGTCCTCGTTCCTGAAGACATGTCTCATCAAGCCGGACTAATGTATCAACGAGACCCGGGGCATACCTCCTGCATTGGGGGGCGGACAGTGGTGACATGCCGAAGCTGTGCGGGAAATGCACCACGGTCAGTCGATGCATCTAATCATTATTGGATCGTGTTGCCAATGCTAATCGGGATCAGAAACTCCGTTTGTAGTAGCTGCAACGGCCGTGGGTTCAATGTCTTCATATGTCCTCACTGCAATCCGGCCGCTGCGGCGGCAGCGTTCAAGGGTTCTTCTGGATCATCACAAGGCACCACACCGAATTCATCTGTCCCTGCTTCGCCGTCATCTCTGAGCAGGAGCTCGTCCACCCTATCCTCTGATACCAGGCCCATCGGGAACGGAAGGCGGTCGGGGGACAGCGATGAGAGCTCTTCAGGCGGACACGTCGGAGCAGGGACTAATTCACCACGGACGGTATAGAGGATTCTTAGGGACGTCGGAAAAAGGGCGCTGGCCGCCCCTGTGCCCAGTTGGCTTTCGGACACTCATTTGACTTACATGAGTTGCGCTATCGTACCCTTTTTGACTTATGAAGGACCATAAGGACGGGTCTGCGGGGATTTCTTTGTTGGCGAACTGCAGGCGCATCAGGAAATAGAGAGAAGCATGGCCTTCCATGCAGGAAACCCGTTGAGGATTTTTTATTTCGCACCATGTCACGATAGTCTATCGTCGTCGCACTTCGTTTCGATGTACTTACTGTTTGACGCCAGATACCAATAGGAAATTGAATTGCCAGATGCTTGGATGGAGTGACGTCAGCTCCCGGGGGGAGTTTCCCCGAGCTTCTCTCTATGTTGGTTTGCCTCGGATGCGAAGAAGTGCAAGGGACATTTCATTCGCCCCCTCCACTCTCCTCTGGAATAAACCAAGGTACCATTTTCGCTACACCTCCCCCCCCCTCCGGATATCCCGACCTCCGCTCATCCCACGGCATATCCGACAGCCGGCAATGAGAGTCTGGAGTTTGGGGCAAGACGCGAGGACGATCACTCCACCTCAGGTTCCGAATGCTATTTCCGCCAGAAACCTATATGTAGGAACCATGACTGCCCCTGAACTCAAAGTCTGCTTGTCCTTTCTTTACTCATTAAGTAACGCTCTGATCTTCCTACAACATGGCCTTGTCTTTCACTGAAAAGCCCCCGCAGGGGAGGGTTCCTTATGCGATCCCGCAATTGGAGGGTGAACGCATCACGATTCCGGGGAGCAAAGGAGCCTTTCGCATCCTGGCTTCCTCTAAGCAGACCAATGGCCTCATGGCTGTCTTTCAGAGCGGGGCTGTCCTTTCAGATGCCCCGGGCTTTCACTATCACAACCACGCCCACGATGTCTTCCTGGTGACCAAGGGCTTCCTGAAATTATGGAATGGAGACAAATGTCGGATAATGGGGCCTGGAGATTTCGCTTATGTCCCTCCTGTATGTCAGATGCTATTTGCTATGCTGCATTTCCTGTCCTCCCTTTCTTTGCTCATGACTGACTCTCCAATGTCTACTATAGACTGTGGTTCATAACCCGGAACTGCTGGGACCACATACCGAGACCTACGGCGTTGTCACTCCTGGCGACTGGGTCGACTTCTTCCGCTACGTGTCCGAGCCTTATGAGGGTATTCTGGTTCCCGAGAACGACGATCGTGACCTCAAGGCTCTGTTAATACCCAAAGTGATGGCTGCGAAGCAGGACTTTGACGTCGTGTTCCAACCACACTACCAACCTCCTGCGCTAGGGGAGTGGAGTGCAGAAGAGGAGAAGCTGCCCGAGTCGTCACAACCATATTTTCTGCGCGCCAACACGGGTCCCAAATGGATGCTGGGAGGTGTCATGTCCCGACCGTTTATCACCACCCGTCAGAGCCAGGGGGTCTGCGCCATTTCCAGCATTGAATCCTCTAAGACATACGGCGAAACTCTACTTTCCAAATTCTTGACCTTCCAGTCGGTTGATCACTGCTTATGTGTTCAGGAGGGGACATTGACCGTCCAGCTGAAGGATGGCCCCGAGTCAACTTTCCGCGAAGGAGAGACAGTTGTGATCCCGGCCGGTCAGGCGTTCGCTCTAAGATTTGCCAGTCGGTATGTGCGGGTTTGGTCATTTACCGATGGCGACGGCATTGAGACTTTGATCCATCGGTTGGGCACACCATTCGAAGGTGCCGTTCTACCTGACCAAGTGCCGGAGTGGAACCCGGCGGAGGTTGGGTCTGTGGCGTCAGAGTTGAATGTGACCATTGAACTCTAGAGGGGAGAGAAGGGGGAAGGGGGAAAGGGTGGATGACGTGGATGCATGAACTTAGTGTGGCTCAATTGAGCCTTGTGACGACTATTGGGACTGGAATTATTAGCGATACTTGTCATGCTCTACCTTATTTGTATTAGTTAGATAGAAAAGTGGAAAGGAATCGTATCCATTTCATTTAATTTATTTTTTTCTCCTGCACCCCGCGGGGACCCCGCAGAGAGTTCCCACGTGATGCTCACGGTCGGAAATCCCGGCCGAGTCTCCCTTCCCAACTTCCATCCTTGCGATTAACTTCGGCCTCTACTACTACGATCGACTACTTCCTCCTTATCTTCAATTTGCCTCCACTCTTGTCCCTATAGTTCGTTTCGGATACATACCCCAGTTTTCCCTATGTCGTCTACCTTCGTCTAGATGGATGATGGATGAGTCGCCCCCCATTCACACCACGGGTGATGATTCTCTTCCCCCGCCGCGGGCCAAACGCCCTCGCGCTGCACAAGCATGCGACCGCTGCAGGGCCAAGAAGTACAAGTGCGACGAGCAGTATCCCTGCGCGCACTGTAAAAGTATGCCGACTATCGCGATAAGCTATTCTATCTTTAACTAACCTCCTTTCTAGAAAGCCAACTCAATTGCGTCTATCAGGGGAATTACCGTCAACGCGAAAGCAGCAGGTCTGCACGGTATGTATATCATTATTCGTTTATTTAGTAGCTAGCTAGTTCGTGTCTTGGTATTTGCTGACACATCAGACAGATATGTCGCTGATCTAGAGCGCAAAGTAGACGAGCTTACGGCTCGACTAAGGTTGGCAGAGGCGGACGTTACGTCCCAGCATTCTTCACGGTCTCAGAAGGTAGTAGTACAACCAAGCTCGGGACCTAAGCAAGCTCCTCCTCCCCCAGTGGGCGTTGAGGCGACTCCATTGTCGCTGCCTCGTGCTGCATCCACGCCGAGAGAAGATGCGCCTTTCATTTACGAGCACCATGACGAAGCTGGGGAGTCGGTAGGGGACGAAATCAGCGAACTGAACCACCACACCAACGGTATCGAATTCCACGGCAGCACTTCTTCAACGGCCCTCCTCGGTCATCTCCAAAAGGCCCGGGAACCGCAACGTTCCTTGGAGCGTCGGGACGCACGTCTCGAGGATCCGGGATATTCGATCGTCTCGACGCTGCATAATTCCAGCTTTTCACCCTCGGGTACGGGCTCCGCCCAGCCCTTGACCTTACGGGAACAGAATTATTACTTTGAGCAGGCTCATGCATTTATCAACGGCTATTTTGAGAATATTCATTTCATTCATCCTCTTATTGATAAGGAGGACTTTTTGCTTCGGGCGCACAGTCTCTGGTTCAATCGTGGCGTTCAGCCGGAGCCGAGTTTTGTTGCTTTATATCTGAGTATCCTGTCGTTCGGGGCCCTGGTCCGGGTCTGGGATGAGGACAGGCTGGGTGGTCTGACCCGATTTGAATGGAGCAGGAAGTTGTTCGGGGAAGCACAGATGTACCTCAACTATCTGCAGTTTTCGAATACTCTAGATACGGTGCAATGCCTATACCTTATGGTATGAGATCTTTTCTTCCTGGGCGAAATACGGGCTGACATTGACTAGGCTAAAATCTGTCAGAACGAGCTGAATCCGAACTGTAAGGAAATATTTTTCGCTACCTGCTTTTGTGACTGATAAGCTGACATGGCTTAGTGGCGTACATGTACCTGGGACTGGCTATCCGCACATGTCTAGCTGCTGGGTTCAATCGTGAGGTGCGCAGTTCGACAGAGCAACGCTCGGAGTGGATTTCAAAAACGTGGTGGTAAGTTCGTGCCCTGCTTGGATAGAGCTCACGCTAACCCTGGCAGGGGACTGTTCTCTTTGGAGATGTAAGTCTTTCTGGACATCCGGTTCAGACATGAATCTAACCACACCAGTGAAATGAGCTTTTCGGTAGGCCGTCCGGATACTCTAGGCATGGATGAGTACCACAACCGGGCGCTACCTGAGAGAGACGACTCTGAGTACGCTGTTATCCCATGGATGGTGGATTTTGCATACATCATCCGCAAGGTGTCTGTGCAGATATACCATTCGCGTATCACCCTACAAGAGAAGCTGCATCTCGCCCTCCAAATCGAAAATGAGCTAGACCGATGGATGGCGAGACTGCCGGACAGGATCAAACCAGACATCGTTCAACGAGCAACAGGAGGGGCGTTGAGAGATCCGAAATGGGCACGAAGGCAACGCTTAGTGCTCGGTATTCGTAAGTGACCCCGCCCCTGCACGTCCTCGTTATTTGTTTCAGTTACAGCCACTTAACCTTCCCGACCAGGCTACTACAACGTGAAGATGCTCCTGTTCCGACCATTCCTCAGCTACTTCACACGCAAATTACGACATACCCCTATGGAACTAGAAGAAACGATCGCCAAATGTCTCGACGCAGCAATGAAAACCATCCAAGTTATTTACGATATCTACCGAATTCACACATTCTTCCGCTGCTGGTACGCCTGCCTTATTCCTCTTCCTACACCCTCCCTTCTATATTCCATCTAACCCAAAATTAGGTGGTACAACACCACATATGTCATGTTCGCCACATCCACCCTCCTCCTTCCCATGTCAAAACTAGGCATGTGCGCCGAAACCATCCCGCTCCGCCGCTCCGTTGAAATGGCCGTCGAGATCCTCGAAGCAATGGACGAATCCGTGGTGGCGCGTAAATCTGTCGAAATTATCAAACACTATTTGCGAGAATTCCGGCCCATTGATGTTCAATCTGCTACTACACCATCCAGTAGCAATGATGGAACCAAAATTGCCGACTTTACTACTGACCCAGGAGCTGCTGCTGCTGCATCTGCTTCGGGTACTGCCCAGACAGGGTTTGATATTCCGGTATGTTGTTTCAATTTTTCAACCCGCTTCATGTACAAATGGAAAACAGAATTGCTAATATAGGGGGTATAGGAATGGGCATATGGCTTCGGCTTCCCGGATTGTTCCTTTGAAGGGATCGCTAGGCTATTCGATGATTTGGGAGGGTTGCCGATGTTGGATGGGTGACCATGTATTACTACTATTTTTTACTATGTGCTATGCGATTCAGTCGGCGGGTATTGGGGACTTGGGGGTTTGTATAGTGGGGTTGACTTGTAAATAGCTAGTTAGTGGAACTGACAGATGACTTCATAGTCTACTATTTCTTTGCCTACCATCCTGGATCTGATCCAGTAGTGATCTAAAGAAACTACTATTGATAGCTACCTAGTGAGCACGTAATTAGAACAACAGAAGACAAGAACGAATTCACGCTCCTCCACCAATCAGAAAACCTAGATAGATGAAATTATAGATCCACTCCATACTATATCTATGCCCAACCACTAAAACACCATTCTATAGATGCGAAGTAACCCCCTTCTTCTTACTACTACCAGTACTACCACTACCAAACAACCCCGGATTCTGCTCCACCACATTCTCCACCTCCTTAATCGCATCATATCCATATAGCCATGGTTGTACTTCAGGACACGTCCTACACATCATCGTATTAGCATATGCTTACTTTCTTGTAATACCCATCTCTCAAATCATAAGAATAGGGAGAAGTTGGATAATACATACCACCGACTCGGAAAAGCCCCCTTGAGTTCCTTCCCCAGCTGAGAAAGGAACAGCTGGTCTCGTTTCTCTTGTTCGGGGCCGTCGTGCATGTGGAAGTCGTTTCTCTGTTTGTTTTTCAAACAACCGCTGGTTAGTATATTTGTGCTTTCCTTGGGGGAACTTGTATGTGGCTGACTAACCTGCTTAAACGTTTCCCTCACGATAGCTTCACCTCGAGACTTGCGCAGCTTCTCGTATAGACGGAGAATAGCGGGCAGGTCGGATTTGTGTTTCATGTGGCCGAGGAGACCTCCGAGGACGGCTCCGTCTTCGAGGGATGAGTTGGCGCCTTGCGCGAGGTAGGGGAGCATTGGGTGGCAGGCGTCGCCGCTGGAGGGTTTGGTTAGTTGGTGGGTTTGTTTGGGGTGGAGGTGAATGGAGTACGTACATGAAGACGAGGTTGGATTTATCGTTGATCCAGGATTCCATTTCGGCGTCTGAGTTGATCGAGCTGGTTAGTAAATGACAGGAGTGATGTGTTGCGGTGGTGATGCACTTACGGTGCATAAGTTTCCATTTGTCGACGCCGTTCACGTAGCCCAGGAAGCGGGTTAAGCTGTACTATATCAGTTTCTTGGGGATCATTGAGGTGTTTATGGTGGGGGAAGCAAACGTACACTGGATCCCAACCCACGAATAAGCGCATCATCTCGTCCAGCGAGCCAGTCTGTCGAGAGACTCCCGGGGGTAGATCATCCGGCACCAAGAGTACAATGTTCATCATCTTCCCTCCACGCAGGGAATACCCTACTGCGTGTGCCCCAGGTCCGATCCAGAAATGTACCGTCGGATTCTCAACCCAAGCTTTCAGGTCCGGGTCTGAGATCTGGTCTGCCGTTAGGACAATCCGATACGCCAAATCTCCCGTGGGGATGGGGTCGTCTTTTTTCCCGCAGTAGCATTCCCGACAGCGGGACCAGAGGCCATCTGCAGCGACGATTAGATCCCCGGAAACAGTTCTGCCGCTGAGGGTGGTGACGGTAGTAGTGTCGAAGTCAATGGTGTTGACTCTCTCGTCGAGATGGAAGGTCACGCCGAGCTCCTTGGCTCGCGCGTATAGTGCTTGTTGCAGATCTACACGATGCAGGTCGATGAAAGGTGCGGAGTACTTGGAGCGGATATTCCGATCGAATGATTCTTCATGGGCGAGGACTTCGCCTGTGTAGCGATGGACTGTTAAGGAAGTGGGCTCTGCAGCGTCGGTCCATAGCTTCTCGGGGAGCTTCCAGTGTGAGAACAAGCGGGAAGCATTGGGAGTGATCTGAAGACCAGCGCCAACTTCTGCCAACTCTTTCGCTTGCTCAAGAACTGTAACGGTGTGGCCGGACATGGCGCAGGAAATGGCGGTGGCGAGGCCACTGAGGCCTGCGCCAACGACGATGATGTCAAGGTGTGAGTCTTGATCGCTCTATTTGATGGTTTAGTATTTATCTTCATCACCTCAACTTCCCCAAAAGTTACTTTGGTACGACTCAGGGATAGAACTCACCATTGTGGATCCTTCACTTCTCCCGAGAACACTGTTGAAGATGCCCATGGTGGCAGGGGCTCTTGAAATGACAATGGCAATGCGGAATAGCAAGTAAGGAGGCAATCGCGATGTTTGTTGCTCTTTAAATCCACGACGACACGCTTTTGCCGCCGGGGCTTCACTTTTCCGCAATCACAAATCGTCAATTGGTCCAGATAGGAGAGAAATCCTGAGCTCAAGCTCAAACTGGGGCTGATTTGTAGGATTTGCCCCGGAGTCCCCGGCTTTCCCGAGGGTCGGGATATCCGGGGGGTGTGATGCAACGGTTCCAGTGGCTGACGTTCATCCCCATTCCTCATCTTGAGCAACTTGCGGGGGATCCGGGGTCTAGTGCCTTGGCTGGCACGGAAATGGCAACGTATGTTGGAATATAGCGAACGGAAATTCCGTGGAGCGCTATGATACGAAGCCATCGCAGAAAGTGAAAAGAGAGGAGCCCCCACAAGTCAAGATGGCAGAGCAGGTGACTCCGTCACGTGGGGCCTTTGCTTTTCGCCCTGCTGAATTTCTTGCGCTTCTTTCTCAACACCATGTTCGAATTGCCATCCGTGGTTCACTCCATGGTCCATCAATAGAGCCAATTCATGCTCGTGGTTGATGTCGTCTCTGCGGAGTGTATCGCCGAAAGTAGGCAGAAATATCCGAAAGCATATCTGTCTTAACCGAAGAATTGTTAATCGGCCAGGAATCTTTTGGGGATGAAGTCACTCACGCAAGTGCTGACAAGTACGACTGGAGATTAGCTTCGCTGTTGGATTCTCGCTACCAGACCTGCCAGAGGCTAGACTCATCTGACAGCCAAAGAATAGACGAGCTCACAGAAAGCTTACCCAAAAGTTGGGAACACTCTAAGCACGGTCTATGCTTTACTTGATTCGCCGAGGTAAGCTCTCCTAGCACTGAATACTAAGCATGACCTTCCCCGCTTACCAGGCACCAGTATCCCACGTGTACAGAGCTCGAAAGGCCCTATCAGAGGCACTTAGAGGCAAAGCTCTTTGTTTTTTCATAAAGCAAACAGAGTCTGAGGTCATGACGTCGGGAAGAACCCGCGCAGGGCGGAGACGCAGTCTTTACGGCCATAACGCCTAGATACGACGCCTCCCAGAGGCACTTCGACTCAGTCCCCCAGCCGCCGTTAATATAGCGGTCGCCGTACAGGCTCTCCTATTGAGCAGCATGGGCCTCTGGACGGGACACTATTATTCGGTAGCTTTACGCCACTAGTGTACTCTATCCCTCTCTTCCTATCACAATCCATCTACGGCGCAGGATCGTACGTGGTCCCGAATATTCGGGGAACCCGAGGGCCACATCCCGGGATGAAGTGGCGTTTCAACACCAGTCACTACCCTGTTCAGGGAGATTCCGGTGGCTTTAGCCCATGTGATGATGGCATAGATTGTGTGGGGTAAACCCGGGGTAGTAGTGACAACTACCCAACTGCCGATATATGATCCGCTCCCTGTCTAGATATATAGAACTTGGCATCGTATGACCTTTCATCTGTTCCTCGCGACAGTTGGACCCTGAGTGGCCTGAGAATTGTCCAATACTGCTACTAGTAGTACTAGTACTTCGATCATAGTACAATATGGCATCCCAAATAGATCCTAGGGTGTGTTACACCCTTTCTATCTTCCTCGCTCCTCTTCATCGAATCGGAAAATAAACAAACTAGAAACAAGCGCTGACCATCTGCTCTATGTCCTCCTATCGGGAATTTACAGCTCTATCCACGCAGAGTCCGATATGCAGCTCTACTCACCGTCAATGTATTCGTCTTCATGGGCAATATGTACTCGGTATTATACCTACTATCTACCCCGTTTGCCCGGGCCAGCACTACTTACACGCATGTTCCACATTAGTCAGGGATAGCGACCGGCTTCGACTCCCTCGCGGCCGATCTCCACGTCGGATACCAAAAGCTCGCTGACCTAGTCTCCTGGTCCGTCTTGTCCATGGGTTTAGCCAACCTAGTCTGGATGCCTCTGGCACTATGCTTCGGAAAGCGCCCGGTTGTACTCGTGTCCATGGCTATGTTTGTCGCAGGGATAATCTGGACGGTCGTCGCAAAGGACTACAATAGCTTAATGGGAGCTAGAGTGTTTGCTAGTTTTGGTATGATATATGTCATTCCTGGGACTTTGTCCATGTGATCAATAGGGGTCTTTTGCTAACAGCCACAGGCTATGGATCGATCGAGTCATTGGGTCCTAGTATCCTTGCTGGTTCGTACTATTCCATCTATCCAAGATACATATGAAGCGAAGCGAGTATATTCACTAACAAGCCTAGACATGTTCTACGAACGCAACTACTCCAGTGCAATGGCAATCTACGCTCTCTTCCTCTCGGCTGGCTCGCAAGTCGGTCCCCTTATCGCTGGTTACCTCGTTGCTGCCCGTGGCTGGCGCTGGTTCTTCATCCTGTGTCTCATCATTGCCGCAGTCAATTTCGTAACCACCTTCTTCTTTCTCCCAGAGACGCTCTACGAGCCTGGACCTGAGGAGCAACTGGATGTGGACGATAAAGAGAAGGCCGAGGCCTACCAGAGCCACGTCGAAGCCGTGCCCGACGTCAACGCCTGGCGGCGGCAGCAGCAGCAGCAGTTTTCCTACGGAGGGTATTGGAAGAGCTTGTTCAAGGTTGGCCTATCGGATGCAGCAAGAGAAAATGGTGTCTTCAAGCATCTGGCTCGGCTGTTCTGGCTACCGTTGCCCATGCTGCTAGTCCCGGGCGTTTTGATAGCTGCGATGATGTACGGTGTTGTATTAGGAGGGTAGGTTAACCCCCTTTCCAGGATGATTATCTCATGGAAACAAGCACGCTGACTATGCTATGCCGACAGTGTTGTCTCTATATCCACCCTTTCCGCCACCATCTTCTCCCCTCCGCCATATAACTTCTCCTCTGCCGCTCTTGGCCTCTGGACGCTTGGCAGCTTCGTCGGCATTCTTGTTGTGTGGCCTATCGCGGGCCCTCTGACCGACGCTCTCTCTACCTATCTCCGCAAACGCAATAATGGCGTCCATAAGCCGGAGCATCGGGTCCCCGCGCTCATTATTCCCTTCATCATCACCCCACTCGGTCTGGTTATCTTTGGATATACCGTCTCTAGCCACATGCAGTATGTGATACCAGCAGTAGGCTCGGCCATGTCTGCAGCAGGGTTGACGCTAGTCCCTTCGGTGATGTTGTCATATGTTGTCGACTCATACCCGCAGACTAGCGGCGAGGCGCTAGTGTTGGTGAATGCTAGCAAGAACATCGTTGCCTTCGGGTTGAGCAAGGGATCAGTGGACTGGATGACCACCCAAGGGGTGGACAAGATGTTCTATGAGTTTGCCGCTGTACAATGGGCGGTCCTCGCCTTGGGATTACCACTATTTTTCTTCGGCCCGTGGATTAGGAAGAGAACTTCCAAGTACTTCTAACGATGATCAGTCTTTGTATATATATAAGCTCGATTAGCTATTCTTTTTTCCCCCATCAATCAATGATATTGTCGAGCCAAGGTGGCTATTTGTTGAATTGTTTCTGCCATTGAATGAGACACGCTCCACCGCGACGTGATAGTTTTCAGACTGATCTGGAGAAAGTTCATCTCGTTGAGCAGTTGAACTTTGGTCCCGTCGGGATCTTCGTTTCGGAGAAACTGGTTGATGTCATGTCCCTCACGCCATATATCATGCCATGGAGTGTTTGGCCCGACATGGATCGTCTCTTCGCGGGATAAACACCATCCACCCATCACAACTGCCGACGCATATATAGCAGCTGGGATATGAGGTGCATGAGCTGACTTGAACGGAATCTGACTGACGATTCGAGTAATAGCAAGTGCATGTAGAACTGCCCTGGCAGCACTAGCGCTTCTAGTCCATTGGTTCAGATCAAATGACAGCTGGTCTTCCTTGGTGGCCATTCCTCCGAGGGGCTGCTGTAAACCATATGCGTGACATATCCTTCGACATAAGGAAGCTGAAGAAACGGCTAGTTCGAGACAAATGGTGTGCCATCTTAGGGTGAGTTGGAAGTTGTTGTCATGGAGGGGTGATTCTTTACTGATATTTGTGTCGTATATGTTCAGCAAAGCTTGGATGATTTGCCTTTCTGAGATTGCGCCGAAAACTGGTCCGGTGGTTTCGTGCAGGTCGGATATGAGGGATTGTAGACCCTCTAGGGTGACAAGGGTTGAGAAGGCCGAAAGACGTGGTGGGGAGGAACTCGGGTAATCTGGTGAGAAGACGGAGACAAACACTTTGCTGAAGGGACGTTGAGTTGGGCTTGATTTCTCCATTTCGATGATCCAGTCGTCTGCGCTCTTTGCGAGGAAGGCAGCATCAGGGCAAGCGGTTTTGATGGAATTTATTAGGTGACGAGTGCTGGCCGGGGAACCTGAAGCTTGTGAGATTAGGCCATCGAGTATATAGTGGCCTAGGATTGCGCGTCGTTTAGTTTCAATGGCCGCCCATGTCAACCATGCCGCGTGCTTTGTCGAGTCTGGGGCATCTCGTCCTGGAATATCGTATTGTTGCATATCTTCTGCGGCGTACATGCCAGATGTCCGCGCCCAGTAGAAGCCAAGTCCATGCCATACAAATGCAGTTGTTCGGATGCTTTCGTTGCTCGATAGTAGTGCAAATAATTGCCCTAGGAGCGCCGTCATAACCAATTGAACACCGTCGCAAGCATCTCGCGGCCCCCGCAGGCTACTTAGCGTCTGCCAGGAGGTAGCTACCGCGGTATGGCCGAGGCGCCAGAGCATCTCTCCTTTCTGAGATGAATCTGGTTGGCATACGAATAAGGAGCCGAGGGCTACCATGTTCAGCAGGAGCGGTGGGATGGTTTCACGTGTTGAAAATGTTGGTTCATGTATGACGGGAAAGCATGGCGAAAGCCACTCGAAGAATTGCTGCAAGCATGCGTCGAGGAAGGCGGATGTGATCCCCGAGCTATGCAATTCCGAGTTCAAGCGTTTTGACAGATCTTCTATCAAATTGTAGCTTTGCTGCATGGCTATCTTTCCAGGTTCTTGTTGAGAAGCTCCGGGGTCCTCTGCCGATAGGATGTTCGGACCATTGGATATTTGCAGATGCGGTTGACTCGGAAGCTCTGTAAATGGCAGTGGGATGGCCGATGGGCCCCAAAAGTCGGGCATAAACCAATCCAATAGGTTGTCAGAGCCGAGCAGTTGCTGATTCCCGGACAATGGAGACTGCTCGAATGAAGACATGCCTAGAAGACTCAGTGCAGATCCTTTGGGACTGGGTAGATTGCCCTCGTTGGTGCCGCCCACTGATTGTGCTGCATCTGAGGAGGCATTTGCTCGAGAACGGGCATGGAGCCTCTTGTGTCGGCCAAGGACATCACCTCGTCCAAAGCTTCTGCCACATTCATCACATCGAAATGGCCTGGTGTTGGTATCTATGTAGCGTGAGATTCGTGCAATAATGAATGTCATTCCCAAAACCTACGGGTTCGCTCATGTCTCTGGGCCTTGTTAACAAGGTTTCTCAGGCAAAGGAAAGGGTGCAAAACTTACTGAAAGGTGTTCAAATTTAGTATATGACCTATTGCATTGGTGGCACTTGAACTTCTTGACTCGATCCATCAGTTTCAGGTCCTTTGCGCATAAACCAGCAAGGAACAATACGCTATTCGGTCTTTGCGGGGAAAGAAAAGGAATGTGGAGAGCGGAATAGTTCGGATGCGGAGACAAGCATGTTGACTATCTAGCGTGACCGCCTTTCAGACCGGACTCAGAAGAAGCAGTTGGACATGATCTATTTGATATGAGGAAATGTGGAATATATTATAAATAAAGGTTGGTCGGTATGATGCTCAGCTACCAGCTTAAATAGATGCATCCCATAGAAACAGTGGTGCATAGCTGGACAATCAAGTAACGCCGAATGCTGCCTATTATATGCTCCAAAACACCCATGCAAACGCCTTCACAAATCTAGAAACAACTCGCTGAGACCTCAGCTAGCAACCGCAAGCTGAGCCACCAAATCCGATGCCACGTCAAGGAACGGATAGGGACTAGTAACCTCTTTCTCCTTATTCCAGAACCGCTTGCTGATGGGATGCCAATCGGCATCCCCTTCGCCACGGATCACATTCTGGTATCCATCACATTTGAAATCAACCATGTAATTATTCTCTTCGAGCTGGTACAGCTGGATGTCGACGAACACCCAGACTCCATAAGAGATGCGCGAGAAGGACTGATGCTGCGTCGCAGATGAAGGACCCGACATGCTCGCATGCTCTGGGGTTAAATTCCTGTCATCCAAGGAAGCCGGCGCACTTGAGAGGTTGACGCGGCGGCGAAGTTCCTCTAGATCACTTCGACTGCTGTGAACACTGGTCGACGGGCCTGGAGCTCTGACGCCTTCTTTCAAAAGACGGGCTCGTATGAACCACGGTTCTTTCGGGATGTAGTAGTCCGATGGTAGGTCAGGATACTTGCTCTGCAGCGGTTGCGGCTGCCCTGCGTCGGCCGGCTGGACTCCGATCTGCAACCCGTCTGAAAATAAAAGACATTAATTAGCTTGAGTCGAGAAGTAGATCTATTGTGGACTCACCTGCACCAGCTGGCTGGATTTCCCATATCCCGCCTTGTGCTTCAATGGCCTTGTAAAGGTAGAGCATTGCCTCGTATGGCTGATTGCGCGAACGAATGCCAAACTGCCATTTGCGGGATTTCTTGGGTTGATGCGGGGCACTCCGACCTTCAGGCGGCTCCAAACGCAACTTCTCAAGGTCTATAATACTACGAGAATGCGGCTTCAGAGCCCTTGCTGTCGCCTCCTGCTCCTCCGGGGAGCGGCCACCACGGCGCGAGTCTCCCTCGGATTCTGGACCACGTTGCGCTTGTTCCTCCAATAACCGGTCAGTGGCCTGGATTCTTTGCTCACGTTCGCGTTCGCGCTCGCGCTCGCGCTGTTCCATGAGTTGGTCATGGACATAAGGTAAACTCGTTGGTAAAATCCGAACATGGCTCACGCGAGGTGCGTTTAAATCGTCGGCATCGCTCTGCTGAGGCGGTTGATAGGTCTGGCGTTGCGAACCACTACGTGTTCTTGTTGGAGGACCAGGTGGGGTTCCCGGAGCAGGAACAGGAGTTGCTCGTCCAGTCGTTGCAGCAGGCTTAGGTATCCTGTCGGGAGGAGGCGAGGGTGTTACCGGGGGTACCAACATATTATCGTCTGTTGGCGCTGGAGAGGGTCAGCACGCTTCACATGAGACAGAGACAATGACAAAGGCCCATAGAAAGAGATCTTCTGTAGTACTCACAATTGGTCTGCATCATCTCATTCTCCATGATGATAAAGAAAGCGTCCTTGATGGCGCTGGGCTCCGGATTCTTGAGCGCATCCTCGATATCGTCGCGGGCATAACCCATACTTCTCTCCAGCTTGGAGATAGCTACTTGGTGGATTTTGTGCTGCACTGACAGGGGCTTCCCCGGGACCAACTTGCGGGGATCAATGGCCTTATTCGGATCGACACCGGTAGCAATGAATTCTTCGGGCGGCGGCTGTAGGTATTTGGGTAGGTCTTGAAGGAACCAGGGATCTTGACGGATCTCAGGGATAGTAAGCCTATGAACAGGATGTACCTGCAGCATTGACCTAATTAACCGAGCAGCTCCGGGGGATATGTAGCCAGGCATATGAAAGTTGCCCGCGGCAATTTTCTTGAATAGGGCCGGTATATAGTCGTCGTCAAACGGAAGCCTTCCAACCAACAGCACGTAGAGAATGACACCACAGCTCCATACATCTACCTCCGGCCCCGCATAAAGCTTCCCGGAGATAACCTCTGGCGCTGCATAGTTAGGACTTCCGCAGCTGGTTTTTAGAAAGTTTCCGTCCGTCATGATGTTGCTCAGACCAAAATCCGCGATCTTCACATTCTTCTCGCTATCGATCAGAAGGTTTTCCGGTTTGAGGTCACGATGTACGATTTTATGACGATGGCAGTACTCCACAGCACATATGATCTGCTGGAAGAACTTGCGGGCTTCAGCGTCATTACACCGGCCCCTCTTGACTAGATAATCGAAAAGTTCCCGTTCGGCATATTCCAACACCATGACGATGTCGGTTTTGGTGGCAATGACGGTGTACCTGTCGGGAAAACAGCAAGTTAGCCATTGTTGAAGCTTTCGAATCGAATTCTGTCTGCCATTGCGGCATGATACAGGGAATAGTACAATTTGATGATGTGCGGGTGCCGCAGCAGTTGAAGGTATTGGATCTCACGTTCAACACGACCAACCATGTCACGAGACAGCAATTTGCGACGGGAGATGATCTTAAGAGCGACCTGGCGACCACTGGGCTGGTGAATGGCCAGTTTCACCTTGCCAAAGGAGCCCTCCCCCAATATCTTGATGGTCTGGTACTGGTCGAGGCGCTGCATGTCCCGGGTGGTTGCTGGTGACTGCATCGGAGGCTCGCCGCCCTTTCCGATCGGGCGGGATGGCGGAGGCATCGCCATGGCGGGGATGTTGGAATTGGAAGGAGGCTCAGTCCCGGCGGTACGGTCACGAGAGCGATCGGAATTGTTGATGGGTGGGAGCGAGACAGAGAGATCCTCGTCGTCGAAAGCAGCGGCCATCCTGACGGGGAGACTGGAGGTTGACGGCCGACGTCGGTTCGGCAAGGACGGGGAGGACAACGTGACGTGATGGATTTTGGCCGGAGGGGTGGTCCCGCGCTTGGGCAGATTGCCTTTTTTTTTCACCTCCCTCTTCCTTAAGTTTTCTTTCCCTCCCCTTTTTTCGCCCTGATGGCAGCTCTAGAATGATTCGTGGAATTCGGGTCGACGCCTCACTAGCTTGGGTTCGAAAAACCCAATAAAAATATGATCAAAAGGGCGGGCTGTGGATAGAGGATCGGGTCTCCCCCACAACCGGTCAGGTTTGGTGGAAGTGGAGCGCTTGGAGAAGAATCGGTCTGGTCGACACCGAAAACCATCAACAACGCACCAGCTAGCGGGGCGGACGGAGGGGCGGAGAGGTTATTGAGGAGAGCGGGAGGGGGTTTGGGTAACCGTGGTTACGATGATCCTGATGTGCTGGCCGGTCTCGTTAGAGTAGATAGATAGCAGAGCGGACTATTGAACATACCTCTCTAGTGCAACTTCTGTTATTATTGGAGAGAGGGGAGAAGATCCCGAACGAAATGGACTCTAGTAGCTTCAACGGTGGTGGGAATAATGCTGACAATGGGGAAGGGACAGATGAATGGAGAGGAAAAACGGGGCGGGTTTAGGCTAGATGGAAAGTAACTGCGACTAATCCATTTAGCAGATTTAGCACAGACACTCTGTCCTGCTGATGGTTGGCTCGTGTCTGGGTTTGGCCGGGGCATTGGATTGGTCTAAAATGAAGCAACTAACTGATGTACCCAGCAAGATAAACATCCTTTCAGGTTAATCATGGTATTCCTGTCTTCTAGAATACAATTATATCAAAAATTCCCATCACTCGAATGGAACCGATCATTACTAGGACTGCGAGATTATCTCTACCATTATATAAATAAAATAATCAACTTCAATCTACTCCGTACGTAAAGTCTCACGCAGGCGGTATACTGAATACTGATTGGTACTTCTAGTACTTTCGGACTACTACTTATGTTCAGGTTCCTGTTTGTACTGGTATTCGGCCCCAAAAGGAAATTGTTGTTATCATGCTAGTAGTCATAGTATATACTAGTAACCATTGTTCAGCCAGGCCGCAAGCTGTTTATACTTACTAGTACTCAATATTGATTGAATACATGGCATCACTGTCTTTCACTTTGTCCAGTACTACTACTGCCACTAGTAATACCAGCTCTTGTAATCAAGACAGTACCATTATACCATACAATTACTAGTAGCAGATGCAGCCAGATTATCACCATGCAGACATTACTACCAGTTAAGAAGAGGTCGTTGTCCTAAATATATATAATATATACTAGTACCTAACGTGACAAAGTGTATGACCCCTTTTACATGAAATATCACTTGACTGCTTAGAACTTGCGCAGATTATTTAGGCATGACACACGCCTATTAACGAGCATCATCGATAACTGAATAGTGAACAAGTACACAAATCAGTCCGCTATTTGCAGTGCCACCGAGGATGTCAGAAGAAAACTGCTGTCGGCTTAGGCGAAACCCTAGCTTATTCGCCGTCAAAAAATTGCAATCTACACTTGAGCACTGTTCCTAGTAGTAGTTCATGATTGTGACAGATATTTTATCATATTCACGTAGATGGATTGTGTAGCATTCGCTTAGGATTTATCTAGTGAATTTGTGACGCATGTTTGCTGCAGGCAATAATGCGTCTGGCTATCCGGGGCTTGGCAGCCGCATGTCATGTGGTGGGGAAGCTCTCCCGATCGGTTCAAACAATCCCTCCACCATCAGCTACATCTGGCTTTCGCACTGTGACTGGTTTTGGTTGTCGCCCTCACTTGGTCTGTTGGATTTATTATTGGGCGCTTCTACTTATTTGGTTATTGCAAGGGCGTCCTGCTCTAGCCGGTGGATTGAGACGGGGAGGCTCCGACATGGCCTCCGAACCAACGGAGGAAGCTATTGCGAACTTCGTGAGCTTCACCAGCTCAACCCGCGAACAGGCAATAAGCTTTCTCAAGGTGAGCCTGGACCCAATTTGGGACCATTGCTGTTTAACTGACTAGATTGGATCGCAGGCGAATAACTTAAACTCGAACCAAGCCATAAATGCCTACTTTGAAGACCCCACGGGCCCTCAGACGCAGGTGACGTCCTGAAACTGCGCACGATGTGTTGGGAGCAGCGACTGATTGTCAGAGATATGTCGATATAGAATATCGGTTACCAAAATGATTCTACCGTTCCTGGTATGATTGTATTTCTTTAGTCAGAGTGATGTGCATTTGAGTTAGTACTGACACATGTGCCTTGATGAAGCGTTCCAGATTGAACACGCCGACCCGGCCCCCGGTTCCTCCATCACCGCTCCTTCACGCCCGCCATCGGCCCTAAACTCGAGTGAACAGGCATCTGGTTCTGAATATCAGCATAGCGCACTTGCATCAACACAGACTGCTAACGGTGAGGGCACACTGAGGGACTGCCTGATTTCCTGCTAGGCTAACCCCGCTTCACGCAGACGCCAATAAGGGCTTAACCTTGGCCGAGCAAGAGGAGCGGGAACTGCAACAAGCTATGGCCATGTCTTTAAATCAAAATCTCGGGCAGCAAGAGACAGGCGTCACAACGAATGAAGCGAAATTTGGTCGAGCTACTCGTGACCACTATGACGAAGGCGCCTGGGCAATGACGTTGTTCAATTCTACCTCTCGTGAAATCATCATAAGCCCCGATCCAGCAGAGCGGAGGAGGAAAGACGGTGAACCGGCCTTCATACGACCATCCCATGACAACATGTACCTGGGTGGACTATTGACAATCCTTCATTCAATTCCTCTGGCGAGAGAAGCTCTTCTGCTCAGGAACCGACTTCTCACGGACTATGGAAAAGATCCACAGTGGTGGAACGGCCAGTCTATTACTCTTCCTAAGATTGTCACTATTGATGACGCGCAGGACGGTGATACTGAATGGGATGATATTATATACGAAGCCCAGCGAGTGGCAGCATTTTTGGACTCTACCGATCGCGCCTTTGGAAGTGCTGATGCATTGGCCAACCTGAAAAGCATGTCCAGTTACGACTCAGAGGGCAGCACGGCTAGATTTTTGGAATCGTGGCAAGAAGCTGCAGTCCGGGCAGACCCAGACAATCAATTGGCGACCATATTCTCGTCAACTGCATATAAGCGACCTCTTTCGATTTATGACACACCATTGGATAAAGAATTCTTCTTACTAGATTCCTACGTGGAGCAAGAGCATGGCCAGACTCTCTATGATGTTATCGACCACACCATGTGGTCCGACAGGCCGGGCGAAGATCTTGACGACGTATGGCTAGAACATGTCGCAGAGGTCTTCACAATCAAGCTGGAAGGCTCCAGTAAACCCGTTGATGTGAAGATCCCTGCAGTTTTCTATCCTGATCGGTATCTTGCGGCCAACCGAGATCTCGCGCGGGAGTTCCGTGCACAGAGGCTCCAGATATACGAAAGAATTTTCAGACTAGAGGGCTTGATAAATCGCTTCTCAACATCTAAGTCGGTCATTCATCAAGGGCTGACCTCTATAGAGACGCTGGAAAAAGCTGCTGCTGCGGTTTCCTCGACACTGCCCAAGAGCTTGTCCAATGAAACGACTGCCTTTACTCCAGAGTCGGCGAATGCAGAGGCACAGAGGGTGGCTGATGAGCTGAAAGCGATATCCTGTAAAATAAAAGTCAAGCTCAAAGGTAGCATCCCAAAGACCCTTTTGATTGCCACCCAGCGCTAACTGGCCCCTGAATTAGAGTTGGAGAGTAAGAAGCAGGATGCCATGGAAAGCCTCCGGGGCTATTCTAAAATCCTCACTGAAGCTTCTTCTTCGGGCGAATTACCACATCACAAGTACACACTGCGGGGCGTATGTACTGAGCCACATGTGACTTATGTCCTAAAGCGCCGTGTGTCCGAAAGCTCCACGAACGGATGCGCTACCTCAGCCGATGACGAGTACCAATGGTGGCGGATCAGCTTTTCAACCGACGATGCGAAGAATCGCCAGGCCGGAACAAGCTCAGAAGGCGATGCAGCTCTGCACAACTCCGACGTCATTGGGTATACCGCTCGCAAGGTCAGGGAAATTGAGGTCCTTCGAGCGGCCCGCGAAGAATCTAAGAATGTCTTGCTTGTCTACGCCAATAACAATGCAATGAACGTGCCGGAAGAGCCAGCTCCCAGTCAACTTCAGGTAAGGCAACGTCTACCAATTGGCGGCAAGAGTGATCGGGACTAACAGCAGTAATTTTTTAGAAATTTGTGCACTTGGACAATCAAGCATTTGAGGCCGAATGTCAGGAAGCAGATAGTACTAGGACCCATTCTGGCCGCCAGAACCGTGCATTGAGTGCTTCTGTCAGTTCCCAGGAGGCATAGCTGAAACCTCAGGACATTATGTGCTGACGCATTTAACAGGAACCGCTCAACCAACAGGAAGGTCGTACGACGCCAAATGTGAACGTGTTTGACTACCAGGTTCCATCATTTGACGAGGGAGTGGGCCGGGGGCAGGAAATGGAGGAAAGAGGTGGACGCCCTTTGCTCAGCCGGAGTAGCACAGCTGGACCTGTGCAACCTTCGCAGAATGCCGACGCGATGTGGGACCAAGTCGACGACAAGGCGACATGACACCCAGGGCTGAAGTCTTAAGTTGATCCGTAATTATTGTCATTTAGACTAGATACCTAGGCGTCCCGCAATCGAGATCTAGAACCTGGCATAATTCGAATATAGCGCTTGGAATGTCAAATGAGAAGCAACTTAAGGCTGAGCGACGCATTAGGATCAACAGGGTTTTGTTTGACCATTGTTTGGGACTAAATAATGGCTCCCCCACGTGCCGTTTGTTGATGTTGTATGTCACGTTTGCATTGTCTACACCCCAACGACGCCGCCTCCCCTTAGCATCGAGATTCGAGAACCGTGGTTCCAGCAACATTGTCCGAACAGGGTAACTAACCCCCCTCTACTAAGCAACCTACACAATGACCCTCGAAAACGACGCGGTCGCCGGTGCCACAATTGAGCTCCTCGAGACCCGTCTGCGGCGCCTCACATACCTCTTGACCGGCGATGCAAACTGGACTGGCAATCCCACGCCGCCCGCAAAGCCCGCATCTCTGGACGACAGCGTCTCGCGCCGTCTTCTTCGCCTAGAGAAGGACCTGGAAAAGCTGAGCAGAAACATCCCGGCCGTCAGAGATGTCCTAAGTCTCCGTATGATCACCTTTTTACATCTGAACTGTGTATGTAGGCGTCAATAGCTAAACTAATACTTTCGTCCAGACGACCGCTTCCCCGACCTCTTCCGTCAAACACCTTCCAAGTCACTTCCTGAGAATCTATCGACACAGAACCTCGCCTCAATCGTCCTATCCTACGCTTCTGCGTTCCCCGAAACCGCTTCCCGACTTACTTCGTTGAATGACCTCCCTATCCCGGACGCCGAGACTTCAGCGTCGCTAATCCAGCTCCAGCCACGACTGGACCAGTTGGCGCGAACTCAGGAGGACCAGGCCAAACAAATCTCCGAGCTACGTGTGCGGTCTGCTCGAGTCTTGCAGCGATGGTACGAAGTGGCGCTGGTTAGTGGCGGTGAATGCTGGGCCGAATGGGAAGGAAGACTGGAGGATGTGGAAAGGGAGGTCAAACGGGAGGAAGTGGTGAGGGAGCGGCGAGCGAAGGAGTTGTGAGAATGAGGCAGTTGCTTTTTTCTTCGGGTTCTGGTTCCCATGTTCTTTTAGCGTGCTTGGCTTGTGATATGATATGATACCTCTTTGTTTGTCCTGGTCATGGTTATAAAGGAGAATGGTGTGTAGTAAGCAAATCATTCTTCTACTGTATGTAGACGAACGAGCCATCCATCCATTGAGAGACACCGTCTTGTGTGGCAACGACCACTAAGTGGACGGTAAAGCCGTTGGAACTCATCAATTCTTTCTTTTCTTTCATCCATCTGAGTATGAAACAGACCGACCGGCCTTTGATCTTGCTCCCTTCGGGGGGTCCATCAAACAAAGACCGGCAGCCGGGGTTACAGTATACCGACGACGCACGGAGAGGATCTGGACTCCCGACAGAACTGATCGACCACGCCGAAACCCGGAAGGAAGAACGGCGCATGTCCCTATATCTACTAGTAGATAGTCACTGTGATCCGTGTGTACTCCATACTTACTGTAGTAGTTAGTGGGTATCTACAATACCTGCTGATGGTAGACTCAAAGGTACCTGGCTCATTTCAAGGACACAACAAGTCACCTTATACCTTACGGAGTACATACATGGTACATATCAGAGACGAAGGAGACCCACGGGGAAGAATCCCGACCGGGTACTTTGATGTCTGTCTCATGAGCGCGATCCTTGCATGAGGAGCATGGAAGTGCATCGTGATTGTGATTGTGATTGTGATTGTGATGAGAAGGAGAACACGTCGTGGGATATTCTTTGTTTGGCTTACCTTATATGTGTGTGTACGAGGTATTGTTTTGACGGAGGGGAGAGAGCACAAGAAGATGAACTCGTGATCGGATGTGTGATACGAGGTATAAGAATTGCTATAATCGTACCTAGGTAACTCGTGATTCTTACTGTGTCGGGCACAGCCAGTGTGTCTCACCTGCTTACTGTAAACGGTATGAATACTGTGTGTTTACACAAGGTTACTTGTGATGGGCTGGCTGGTCAGCAACAGTCCGATAGGGGGTATCTGCAGGTCTAACCTAAGCCTTGCAGTCTGAAATTTGAATGATGATGATGATAATTTGGTACCTTTGCAACTACGGTGATGAATTCATTCCTGCTTAATTAGTTATGTAGTGAGGAATAATGAGCGCTATGCTAGAATTAAACCATAATTGGAGCAGTGTTCCATACGAGTCATGTTATCTCAAAAATAGCCAACTACCGAAGGGGGAGAACACTATCACCATTTATTCCCAGGATCACCTGGGGCGTAAGCAGCAGCAGCAGCAACAGCAACATGATCAGCAGGGTTGTATCGTGGCAGTCAGTGTAAGGCTTAATTTAAAGTGGTTTTTTTCTAGAAAGAAACCGTTGGTTGCCTGGTATAAGAATGTTGGGTGCATCCTCGCTGAGCCATGTTGTACGGAGTACATCGCTACCAATGATCCCTCAGTACATACTAAGTAAATACTAATTTCCCAGGTCTCAGCGACCAAACCAACTGTTCAAAACGGTGGACAACCCACAGGCCATCGACGTCGCCACGAGAGCCACAACTCAGCCTCAGCCTTTCCAGGGGCCAGAATGGACGAAGAGAACCCACTACCGGCACTAAAAGAGGGGCGACGAGGCCCTCCGGGAAATCGACTAATCAAACAACAATCATGGCCGGAGTTTGCGTGTCGTGCCGCCTCAAAGCGGGTTAGGCCGGGACCCAGTTTTCATATGGAAAATGCATCGATCTCATTAGTAGTATTCTCTGGGTAAAAATAAAAAGAAGACACACTGACACTACCTAGTACTACTAACTAGTAACCGAAGTGGTAGTAGTGAGAGTGGAATGAGAAGGCCCGTGGAAATTAATTTTACTTTTTTGTCTAACGGGATGAATTATTAAAATTGAAATTGTTTGACGTGCACATGCTAATTAAAATATAATCATTGTTATTGTCAAGTCTAGGCTTTTTGAAAATCTCAATGAAAGGGACGACGTACTAAAGTTGAGCTTAAGTATCCTTTCATTTAATGTATTCACCCCATTGAGATTAATGTGACCGTAATTGAGAAAATATAATTCCAACTTGTGGTTAACGAGATGACAGCAGATAGATACTACAGTACTTACTGTAAGTCCGGAGTAAATACTTAGTTACCTACAGGACAGTCGTCATCCTTCACAGCCCGGTTCTTTTCCCCCCCTTCCCTGGAACATCCTCCGAGTTACTATAAGAATAGTAACGGCAGAGAAAACCACCCTAGTAGTACCCAATTGTTAACTGGTAAACTAACTAAGTAGTTATCTATCGACTGATGAACTAGGTAGACAGAATAATAGAAATAGAACTATTAGTTTAGATAGATAGATAGACAGATAGATGTATGCCAAACTGCCATACGTCGCAGGCCACGCACTAAACCCAGAGGGGGGCCCCCAAAAAGACAGTGCCTGAGGGTAACTAATTACTGTCTTTCTGCGGTTCGCGTGGGCCACTCGGGCCAGGCACCGTCGCTCTGAAACTCGATCCCATTTGTTTTCCCTTTCCCCTTCCACCCAATTGTCCCCATTCCCATCCACTATCCATCCATCCATCCACCCACCCATCCATCATCTCCTTTTCCCGGACCTCGAACCTGGAACTAAGTAGGCCTCGCTCACGGCTCCCTCCAGATTTGGGCCTCGCCTTTCTCCATCTCCAGCCGTTCCCATTCCTCTCTTTCTCTCTCTCTCATCCTTCCTTCTCCTCTATCCGGTCGGCTTGTCTACCCCATCGACTTTTCTTTCTCTTTCCCACTCATTTCACTCGTTTCACCCCTCCTCCACCCCCCATCTTCTCTTCTCTATTATCTCTATTTCATCTATCTCCTTTTGTTTCTTTCCCTCTTTTCCCCTCTTTTTTCTCCTCCGTCTCCCGCTTCTCTTGATTCATTCCTCTGCTTCTCCATCCGCCTCTTTTCGACACTAACGTTTCATCATTATCCGTTCTTCTCCAGCCTGGTGCTGCTGTTTCTCTTCGTGCTTCTGCAAGGGGCATTCCGTGGGCTTGTCTGAACACCAACCCAAACCAACCTCTCCGAGCACTTGTTCCTCGATCCCTCCTTCGATTGCTCCGCCGGTTTGAGACGATCGGTGCCACTGCTTCTCTTCCTCCCCTTTCGCCGACCCTCAGCCATTCCACATTCATTTAACCTGTCTGTCTCAGAAGTATGTGATGCGTCGATCCTTGTTCTTGTTCCTCTAAATCTTATTTCGAGTTTTGGTCGCACCCGTTAGCTTTACCTTTCTGTCCTGTTCCCTGCATGAGGCTCCTTGGGGATCGCGTTGTTGTCGTTCCTCACGATGTCCTCCGTGCGCCGTCGATCAACTTGCATGTTCCTTGATCATACACGTTCGCCCACCTGAGCACCTGGCTAATTGCTCTGTAGTCGGACACTTTCTTCCACCTTGGTCGGATTTCACGCTCATTGCCACACTCGACGGGTTTCCCATTCTCAGATCACATCCGACCTAAGTCGTCATTCACTCGACAAATTAAAAGCATAGAAGGACCTTCTCTGCTACTGTCCATATACACCATCGGGGCCTTCACAGTCATCGTCGCGTCGCGTCTTGAACAGCATCCTCCCATTCCGGACGCTTCTATATAACTTTCCGCGACCTCGTTCGAACCACATTCATGGTGGCTTACTCTTCGCGTTCCCCCTCCTTCCAGAAGCCATATACCTATCCTGAGCCTCCACGAAAAATGGCGCGCTTCAGAGCCAGCAATATTCTGGGCGACCCTTTTGCGCTCGCGACCACATCCATCTCCATTGTATGATTTCAATCCATTCTGGTACGATGGCTCGGGTTCACGGCTAATCACCTTTTCTTCGTTTAGTTGGCTTGGTTGATCGCATTCATCTCGTCCATTGTCACTGGCGTACATGGCGGATACCCCACCTATTCGTGGTGGGCTGTTGCTTACTCCTTTTGCTGCATTGCTGGTATGGCGCTTGTCTTCGGCACCGATACTGGTACCGTCTACAACATAGCGGTATGTCGCCATTGCTTCTAACCCAATCTTTCGACAACCCTTCGTACTGACTTATGGCAGATCGTGGGGTATCTTTCCGCTGGTCTTGTCATTACAACCATCTCCATCAACTCGTTGGTCTATGCGAACAGCGCCGCATCGCAAGCTGCTGGTGCTGGGTTCATTCTTTTGGCTATGGTTATTGTAAGTGATAAACAGCCCCGACACAGACCCCACTAGGCAGTACGTGACTTACCTTTGATGCAGATCATTTGGATTTTCTACTTCGGATCTAGCCCTCAGGCTTCGCATCGCGGCTTCATCGATTCGTTCGCCCTTCAGAAGGAAGGTGCTGGCTCGTATGGAAATGGCAGGCCTATGTCAACCGCCTTCGGCAATAGACCCGAGACGACATCCAGCCAGCCCCCGCAGATGTACACGTCCGCTCAACTCAATGGCTTTGAGACTTCTTCCCCCGTGTCGGGCTACCCCGGTGGAGCCCCTGGCTCCGAACACCGCAGCTCCTCGCAGCCCCGCTTCGGCAACCCGTCCGCCACGAACCTGCCTAACAATGGCACACCAGATGAGGTTCCCCAGCCAACGGAATATCCGTACCGTGCGAAGGCCATCTATTCGTATGAGGCCAACCCCGAAGACGCCAATGAGATCAGTTTCACCAAGCATGAGATTTTGGAGGTGTCCGATGTGAGCGGTAGATGGTGGCAGGCCAGGAAGGCCACCGGAGAGACCGGTATTGCTCCATCCAACTACCTGATCTTGCTGTGATCGATGCAGAGCAACCCACGGTGTCACGTCCTTTCCTTCTTCTGTCTTTCTGGTCTGTCATGGTTCTCGCTATTTTCGCGAGAGAAAAATCAGTTTTTGATACCCTTCGAGTAGTATCACTCGGCGTGATTCTGGTTCGCGAAGTCATGTTACGTTTTGATGGCCCTGTGTATTCTGTTGGTTTATTTGTCGTTCACTAGAGACATTTCTCTTCGTTTTTGTTGTGCGTGTTGGCATATTTGAATTATGTGTGCTCCCCGACTCCTTCAGCGGGAATTTGTGCTGTTGATATGTTATGTATGGCCTTCGGATCTGTTTTGATCGTGCCCAGAAGCACCCTCATCCTTGACGGTTATATCTCTTTCGTGTTACTATTGGAAATGAGTCCGTGTTTAAATGCTATGCTATCTTCTCACCTCCTGACTGTTCATCAAAAATGAACGATACGTCGCACGAGTCAATCTAGACAGGTCGTATTCGATCTCCTGCATCCGTAGATAAGCAGGATAGATATATTGAAATCAAGTAAACATCCATTGACCGATCTTATTCCGCGACCACGTGCGTCGAGCGATTAACTTTCCTGCTGGCCGACATGAGGTATCAGAAAAACCGCTGCATCCAAACCCATTCTCTCTCGCAGTCCCGCATCGTGGAGCGGCCCATCCAGACAGGTTGTGTTCCTTGGAATTCATCCACCCGTTCCCGAATACTCCGCCCGAGCCCAGTCCCCGTCTAGAACTTTTTCTCCCTGAATTCTCCTCTGGTTTACCCGTCTCGTCCTAGTTTCGGTGCTTCTTGCTTTCTCCATCTCCCCGCTCTGTCCAATGATATGCCCCTTTTCCTATTCCCTCCGCTATCAGACCCAGCGGATAGTACTATGCCCACCCACTACAAGTACTGACGGCGGAACTTGCCCCGGACCATCAATTCTTCAGGCTTTATTTCGCTCGATCG